ATTTGGTTCCCAAAGGCTGCTGGTCTGTAAACTAGGATTTGAACCTCAGTTGGGAGCTCACTAGGAATTATCTCTCAAGGTGTTGGATTGCATAAGATGGAGAACTTGGGCTAACTCCGCAGTCCCTCAGCTCTGATTAGGTGAAATTTCTGCTGTAAGCCATAACGATAGACCGTTATAAATGAAAGAGGCACCGTTATAAAGTAAAGATGATTCTTACTCTGTTGAAAGAGAACTGACAGGGCTGGAGAGAATTCTCAGTTGTTATGAACACCGGCTGCTATGGAAGAGGAGTGGAGTTTTCAGCATCTATTTTGAGTGGTTTAGAACCATCTATAACTCTAGCTCCTGGGAGTCCAATACCCTCTTCTGCCATCCGTGAACACCCATGTACATATGGCATGTAATAAAATTTATACATGCACACACACACACACATTTATATACACACACACAGGGGTGGAGAGACATATATAAATATAATTAAAAATCAGAACCTAGGCTCTTCCTCTTGGTCTCAACTCATAACTGGATGGCTTGTTGCTTAGTCTGAAGACATGCATTTAAGCAAACAATGGGTGAATGCCTTAACCCTGCCCATGTATGCATTCCCAAGAGTCATATGTGGCTTCACACTGGTATTCCATAGCTGCCGTTCATGCCTTACCTGTAGTTCTCCAACAGATAACACTTTTTTACAATTAGTTCTGTCTTCCTCAGGTCTCTCTAAACACCAAGTATTTCTTCTACAACTGTGGGAAAGGGAACCAGCTGTTTCTTCTGTCAAAAGGGGAGCTTACTGCTTCTGATTAAAACATGTGTTCAGAAGACAAAGCTCCATACATGGAGAAATGTGGAGCTCTGGACCCCATCAGAATCTTGGAATATATCTTGGAGTACTGAGCTGGTCAAAGTGTTATAATATAGCATGAATCTGCTGTTATTACTTTCCAGTATACCTTTACTGGATATCAACTTCATCACCAGGACTCAGGAATTAGAATTCCAAACCAAAATGAACAAACTCCTATACATGTGCTTGAGCTTTGAGAAGGAACTGGAGTTCACATGCTTTGTGCTGTCAGGGAATGAGACCAAAGCTCTGATGGACCATTTGCTAGATGAGAGTGTGGACATATCACTTCAGTTCTCCAGAATACCCACATGCCAGAAATGCTGGGAAGAAAATGAATGCCAAGAACCAGCACAGCGCCTGTTTTGTGCTGGTCCGTATGGTGTCTCCCTGCTCTTTGATTTGCTTCCAGGGTATTCTTTGAAGAAAGTATAGGACAGTTACTCACCCATTGCTTGTGTTGACAGCCACAGCCTCTTCAAACATCATCCAAGTGAAGCTTCTGGGGTCTTTCCAATTGATCCTACTATGCTTATCTTTATGTACATCCTTTGACTGCAGGTATGAACTTTTTTGTTTGTGTGTGTCTCCATCCTTATTTTATTATTTTACTTTTCTTTTCCTTGCCATTTACTTCTCACTCCATGACTTTTTCTGAGACTCTAAGCTTCCATTTAATTTCTTTTGTCAATCTGTTTAACAGACATATTGAAGAATTCTCTGGTAACTGGACCCATTTCTGGATGGTGTCTTCACCAGCAGCTGGCTCTCACCCAGCAGGCTTATCACAGTCTCAGGAATAGCCCCTCCACCTCATCACTGTGATCTCTCTTTGACTAGGACACATCAGTTTGCAGGGGGCTTAGAGCAGAAAATAAGAACACCTGCTTTAACTGGAAGCCCACATATGATGTCAACATTAAAATGTGGACTTGAGCCTGGCATAGAATAGAAAAATATTAAGAAGTTGGAAAACTAGGATGCTCTATAGTGTGAGTTGGGTATGGGAAAGTTTGAAGGGCACCAAATGTGGAGTTCATATCTCTGAAGTTCCACTGGAGATCCAACTCTTTCTATCCTCTCAAAAGGACAAATGGTAATGGGGGTCATAGGATTCAAAATTCTAACTTTGGGTACATGTCATCAAAGCCAGACTGTGTTCTATTTTATGACCCATCGTGCATATTTTGCTTTGTTCTTAAAAGATCCTCTTTGGAAACGAGTTCTAGGCAAAAATCAAACTATTGAGACTATTTGTTACATCAGCCTGCTTCTGCTATTGCAATGCTTAGAAAGTTCAAAGAAGGAAGATACCCATTTAATAAATAGAAAATATTTATTATCATACAGCATCATCAAGATTATTTGACAAAAGGCAGTAACAAGCCAAAGGAAAACACTTTTACAAGAAGCAAAACACCTGTATAAGCACATACGTTACAGTGGTTACAGTGAAGATATTTTGCCCTTTAGGTACAGGGTATGTATGTGTACATATCCAATTCTGGACAATTATATGAGCTAATATTCTATTTACTCTGGAAAAATTCATAATCATGTTAAGGGTAGGCATTCAGTAGTATCTTAATCAGTGTTGAATGTGTTCACCAAATGTCTCAGACCAAAACCCCAAAATAAACTAACCTGTTACAGCATTTGAATAGAAAGCATTTCCTCATCTATTCTGGCAAAAAAAAAAAAAACAATAACAATAACAACAAAAAACCTGAATGCACAAACCCATATTAATGAAGGCCATATGTTGGTGCCTCGAGTTTAAAAGAACACAGGAAGCTAAATGGGTTCTCCCATTGTTTTCCTACTTTAGTAGAAGCCCATCTATTTAGAACTGAACCATCTTTGTAGTTGTGTTATATTTTTTGAGTCAGTGTCTCTCATTGTGCATATCAGGCTGGCCTCAAACTCACAGAGATGCACCTGCCTCTTCCTCCTAAGTGCTGGGCTTCAAGACATGTTCTACCACATCCTGCTACCATGCCCTGCTCTAAACCATCTATTTTTTGTCATTCTGTTTCTTCTCAATCAAAGCACAGAGCCCACCATTTCAATTGTTGAGGTCTTTGCAATAAAGATGTTTAAAAATAATATTTTTAAAAAAACAGAAAGACAGAAGTTCTTGATGAAGAACTCACTAAACTGGGTAGAATATGGAACACTTAAGAAACACAGCTCTGACATAGGAGTTGATGTTAAATTCCAAACAAATGATGTATTTAGAGATTTCTAAGATGATGCTTTTTTGGCTGAGAAATCAGCAGCTTTGACACGATGAGAGCAAATTAAAATGACTGAACATAAGGCATAGGCAAAGATATTCAAAGGGATCAGATTCATCCCACAGATAATAGAAGAAATAAAAATAACAAGAACAATCCTTTTCTTTTTCGTTGGAAAAGGCAGGGGTACGATGGAGCAATCTGATCACATGTTTGTGGATATTACATTGTAGTAAACATGGGATCATAAGGAAAAGATGCTAGCAAAAACATAAAGATAAAACATGGAAACCTTTTCAAACGATGGAGTGTGATTGACAAGCAGATAGCTGAGACACCCTGGACAGACTGGAGTATCGTTACACACTAGAAGACCATGAAACTCAAGTAGCTGTGGAAAAACCGTTTAAAAATATATCTGAAATACTCTAAGTATTGCCTTTTCAACCTTACATTTTAATAGCAATGTGCACAAGTTTATAAAAGGTACTTTTTGGTGTCACTCACTATTTGGTGACCCTTTTACTCAATGCACTTTCAAGCTATTTTATTAATAACATTGTCACATCATAAATATCTGAAAAAGAAATCCCCACCTAGGAGGATGTTTCCATCTCAGCTGCATGTGAGAAACATCAGACCACAGAGCCAACCTTCAAAGAGACACTGGTGACAGTGTTCTATGGAATGTCACTGGAACATAAAGATATTTATACTCTATCCAAAAGACGATTGTCTAGTTGCAGCTAGATTGACATTGCACGGCACAAGTTTTCTAATCACATGTATACAGGAAAAGACATTCAGTCGCTAGTTCCAGGGACTCCAGTGACAATAGGAAAGAATTTAAACCAGTAATTGTTGCTATGAGTACACCATTAGGTCCAAAGTTAGATTTGTTTCCATAGCACATGGGAGAAACTGTGGCACCACATTGTACTTCAACTGAATCTCAGAAGTCCAACTGGTTGGTCTTATTTGATACAGCAAATGGAAGGTGAATCTTGGCAACGTGGCTTGTCCTCGTTTGCTGAAGGGCAACGGAGAACCTGGTTGGCACAGCGCAAGCGAGTCCACAAAACATCTCTGACACCCCTTGTCATCCCCCTCCTCCCCAAAGTTATCAATAAACAAGGATGGAATCTACAAAGCTCACTCCGGAGACCTTGCTCAGGGACCTGTGGGGATCTACTGTCCTGCTTTTCCCCCGCCAAAGCACTTCTGATATAGTTCATTTTGTCGATGATTTTGCTCATACTTTCATTTTCCTAACCAGAGGGAATTATAGAAATCCAAGGAGTTACCGTGCCTTTTTCCCTGGGTGACTGCAGGCTGAATCACAGCAGTGTAAAGGGGCCCTCATAAGGTCAGTTCCTGGGTCTCCCTTAGTCCACGAGTCTGCAGGCTCAGCACAGAGAAGGGCTTCTGCGATGGAAGCTGGTTGTCCCTTCAATGTCCCTACGTCCTGTCCTCTTCGTGTCCACTCACCAGGAATGTTGTGAGATGAACGAATGATTCATCTGGCACCATGACAAGGGCCGCTCCGTTTCTAGCTTCACCAAGAGAGTGTGGGCAGATACATGTATGCACGATTGAGCAAAAGACGAGATTATTTTTGTTGATTTTATTTTTACGTTTTATTATTTTTTTCCCCCGATAAAAGTCACCTACCATATGGAATTGTGCTTTGTCATCATTCCCTTTCTTCCTAGAGAAGATTTTTGAATAATTCAGGAGTCGCAATCCTGGCCGGGACCACTGTTTGGAATCTTTCCTCTCCCTCATTAAGGCAGCCCTTGCATTCTTGCTGCTCTACTGACTGCGGTCCTCCATCCCAGTGTGTCTTCGGCTCCCTACACCTTTCAAGAGGGGTTGACTTTCCTTGGCATTTCTGGCTTTTCCACGCACACTTCCTCCCTACAGGGTGGAAGAGCTTTGCTTGTAGTCCCTCAAGATGACAGAGGCGTAGGTCACGTTTGGAGGGGTGCAGAGCACTGACTCAGACACCGGGGAACTGGGCACTGAGCTGCCAGAGGCCACCGAGTCTCGGAAAGGAGAAGGAGGCGTCAGGGCCGGCGAATCTTCAGGGGTTAGCTTGCTGGCTGCAGGCAGGTCCTCCTCCTCTTCCAGTTCGTCTTCCTCCGTGTTCCCTTCGCGCTCATACACGAACTCCTGCAGGAGTTTGAACCTCTCACTGTCATCCTCGTCATCCTCCCCGGGAGGGGAGATGGGCTCCTCTCGGAAGGTGCTCAGCTGCAGGGGCAGCATCTGCAGGTGCTGCGGGGGAGGCGGGGGCGGGTACAGCGAGCCCAGCCCGGTGCCCGGTGCCCCCGGGCCTGCCAGCACAGCGTGGAAGTCCGGGACCCCAGCTCCAAAGTTGGTGACCACGCCTTGCAGCTGGTCCATCAGGGATTTTTGCTGCTGTGTGGGTTGCTGAGGGGGCAGCGGCTGTTGTTGCTGAGGAAGAGGAGGAGGCAAGCCCTTGGGGATGATGGAATCGGCCAAGAACAGGGGAGTCTCCTCTGCGGTCAGGTGGGGTGGCAGGGGCGGCGTGGTGGTCACAGGTGGTCCGCGTCTGTGCACCACCATTGATGGGCTGCTGGGAGGGCTGAAGCGAGCAGAAGGGGTGTTGTCCTCTTCCTCCACATTGTAAAGGGTCTTGGTGCTGGCGTCTGAAAAGGTAAGGCTCTTCCCAGAGCCTTGGTAGCTTTTAGTGAGGGGTTTGATCACGGCCGTTTGGTTGCAGGCCGTCTCGTTGGTCTTCACGTGCACAGAGAGGCGCTGCCACACATGCTGCCCCTTAGGCGCCTGTCTTCCACCTGGTTCAGACCACGACACAGACTTGCCGTTAGAACTACGAATAAAAATAGAGATGGGTTTATTTACACATGGATCCTGCACAGATGATGAAAGACATTTGAATTCTGTCCACCCCACCGCTGTGCAATTCACCTGCAACATCCACCTCCCTTACTCCCCTACAGTAAATGAAATACTATAACTTGGGCTACTGTAGACTTCCTCTGAAGAGGGAACCAGAACATTCTACTCATGCCAAGGAAAGAGGTGCTGACCCAAGTAAAGTTACTGGCGAGAAAGCATTACCATTTAGCTACAGGGTTTCACAAAGCACGCCCTTCACCACCATGCATGCACTGGGAATGACACAGTCCCATTGATGACAATTAATGAAATGGGTAACAAGTTAAAATGACCCTTCACTGCCAGGACTGAATGATTACCGAACTACTGGAAGAAAAAAAAAATGGAAACACACACACAACCACTTAAGCACAACACAGAGATGAAGTCTTGGGGATAAATTAAAACCCATATATAACACCGCTCTGTGCTGTGGGAATTAGGAACCAGAAGCATTCAGTTGCCCATTCTGATTTGTATTTCATAGACATCACATCTTCACAGAGGTGGCAAGACGGGGGGGGGGGGGGGGGAGGGCCATGAGTGGCTGAAGAGTTTCATAATTTCCCATTTTCTATTTTTTAATCTCAGAACACTGTTCCTGACACATACAACATGTGACTTTTCACATAAAGTTTCACCTTCTCAGCTGCTAGTTAGGAGATTCATCCTAGGAATACTGGGTCACCAGAAAAGAGAGAGAATAGGAAAGGCTAACAAACACACACATACACACACAAAAAGCTCACAGCCTTTCCTAATCCTCCAGCCAAGTTTGATGCAAACAAGACAAAATTAGCATTCTAACAAGTTAGTGGTCACTAAAACCAAGGACCATGCTTGGATTTCTTTCCACTTATCCTTGCTAAAGGGAACTCTAGAACTCGGCCATACTTCCAGCCTTCACAGCTGTTCTGGCTTCCTTCGTAAGTGCCCCCCTTCAAAACTGGTGTATTGACAGAGCAGCAATGTTGAAGGGGGGAGGGATTTTTGAAGGTGAATGGATTTTGAGACTTCTGACCCTATTAAAGGATGAAGACATTTCAGAATCATACTTCCTTGGATTTCATGAAGAGGCCTTGCAATGCAAACCAACCCCCTCCCTCTTTACTTCCTAGCCACCATCAGGCAAGCCGCTTTGATCAGCCACGTGCTCTTTACCAAGAAGGTTGCACCTGGGTGCAAGTTCAGACCTGACAAAGCCAAGTGAACACTGGCTGAAACCTTTGAAACCTTGAGCTGAAATGAATCCTCTCTCCATTCAGTTGACTTTGTCAGATAATTTGCCTCAAGGACATAAAGCGAACACATCAACCTTAATCCCCATGAAATCCCAACAAACCAACCAAAGAGAAAGTCATCCTGAGGAAGAAAATACAGAATGTCCTATGGAAACCACAAATCTTATTCCTTCTGAATATTGCAATAGTTCGGATCTTGCTTTGAGAGACTCTGATGATTTTCTATACAATTTTTAGCAGATGGTGACACCTTACTGTAGCAGTCTATTAATAAAAGTGCTGCTAATATTTAAAAGAAGTCATTTTCTTCTGCTTTCTCCTTTTTTTTTTTTTTTTTTTTTTTTTTTTTTAGGAGTTTGCTTTTTCTTTATACCTACTAAAGCAACAGCAACAGGAACAAAAAGTGAGCGATGTTGTAACACTGACAGAAACTGGAAAATGAACATTCTTTCTTAGATAGGCGTGTGAAATAGATTGCCCACATTGTAGACGTGTCTAAAGGAGAAAGAAAAGTAGAAAGGGATCACTAAAACAATGGTTCACTGAATTATTTTGAAAAACCAGAATGAAGGCTTAAAAACCTACATGTGATTTTTAGAATATTTGTGACGAGGGTAAATGTTCAACACTTTATATTTTATAACCTTGAAAAGTGAGTGAGTTTAAGAAGTTGATATTAACTTCAGAGTCAGACAATATAAAGAGCTGAAAAATAGGTATTACAGCTAAACTCTGATCTCATTGCTTGACAGGAAAGGCAGTTCCCAACAAAATATCACTTAGTCTCCTCCCAAAACTAGCTGCAAGGTAACCTTGCACTCCTAGAAAACCCTGAGATAGTGGCTCTCTTCACTCAACATAATTACCTGTTTTCATTACTGCCCAGAGATCCACCCCAGAACTCACTTTGGACAATACCCAAATATTAACAGTCTATCTGATGATCAGGCAGGCAGCTATAATCACAATTTAGTTCTATTTTAATTGAACACAATGTTTTGTTCTTGCGATGGGAGATTTTCACTATCACTGTTAAAATTAGCAGCGTTCTTTCCCCTCTGAGTCTTGCTCTAAATTATCTGAAAAGTCCTGTTTAATTAGGAAATAGATATCATGCCCTGGGGCATTTGGTGCATTGTAAAAATTAGACTAACCTTTCCCAAGGACAAAATAAATCGTTTCATAAAAATCAGACGTAGTGGGGGAAATGCATCATTGCGTAGAGATGGAGGCAAGGGTTATTAACTGCTTCTTCAGCATATGCACTTCTCATCTGTGGTCCAGGCACAACATGAGGGGTCTATGGATCTACGTGCTCACTAGGCACCGTTTGTAGAGCGAATAATTGAAATTTTATAGGAGAGCATATACCCCTGTTTTTAAATCCTTGTGGATGGTATTGTGATAAACAACATCTGAGGTGCTTTAACTGTATTCAGTAAACACTAGCCCTGGTAATTATAGTCACTTGATTCAGGTAAATACCCAATCCTGTTTCATGTGAAAAGAGAGCATCATCCTGAAGAAACTGGAAAGTCATCGTTATTAAGAAGAAAAAAAAATTACATACACTTTAGGGTGTTGTGAAAGAATAAAATACATTCAAAACAGAATAGTGCTATGACATAAAGAAGTTTGTTGAAGGTCAGCTAAAACTTTAATGTTTGGGCTTTGGCCACAAGCTTCTTGCTTTTATTGTTTACCTTTATCCGATTTCTTAATCTTAAGAAAGAGCTGGGGGTGTGATTCACAGGAAGTAGAATGCAAAGTGGAAAGGAAGCCCTAGGTTTGATCTCCAGCACTGCATAAACCAGGTGCGGTTTATACCTGGGATCTCAGCATGAGTAAGTTAAGGCAGAAGAATCAGAAGGAGTCAAGGGTGATCTTCAGCTACATGGCAAATCCCAGGTTACCCTGGCCACATGTGACTGCGTCTCAAAAATGGGGGGGGGGGCAGCAAGCAAAGCAATCTGACTTCCAAAACTCCATGTAACTGTCTCAAAGCACTCTTTGTTTTAACTCAGACCCCAAATAACCCCCTTTCTGAAGATAAAACACCGTGGGTCAGGGTTAATTTGCCTCAGGTGGTTAAATATATTTAATGATGCAACAATTCCTTTAGGAATCGTCAGTGGTGTAACCAATGGTACCTTAAGCCTCTCTGGTGGTCAGACTACAAAATAAGGCCTTGAGAACATAGTGTTTCCTAAGATCCCCTCCTTGGAAGTAGGAACATCTGAAACCCCAGGAACTTTACAACTTGTCAGGCAACCTTGAAGGAGAGACATTGGTCTGAGCCAAAGATGGGTAGAAGCACACTTGGGCCTGCTTGCTTAGCTCTGTAGACCTCCCCCCCACACACCCCACTTTCTATTTAAATCATACCTTTAAGACAGGACAAGAATATGGATTTGGGGAGTTGCTGTATCCTTAGTCTCCATCTCAATGTGGCCACACTGAATAAATCCCCTTCTCTAGCTTTCACCATTAAATTGGCTCTCTTTATGGGCTCATTCAGGACAAGTAGCCAACCCTGCCTTGTTGGGGACACAGGTTGCAATCTTAATCTGGTGCGAACAGGACAGCAGGATACAGGGAGAGGAAGTGGATCAAGAGAATGCTTCATTCTCTTAATAACAAACAAACAAACAAATAAAAACCTGGCAGACCTAAGCTACAACCCTGGAGTCAACAGGTTAAAGTTTTGTTTTGATTATTTTTCCCTTCGGCTCAGTGTCACAACCCCTTAAACAAACAAAAAAACCTAACATTTACAGCATTCTAAAGAATAGTTAGGAGTAGGTAATATAAACAGATTTCTGTATTATTGGCATTCAGTGTGAGCCTGTCTGTTTTGTTTGCTTCTGTAAGTACAGGTTACACTTGCAGAGGATATGCTCTCTACTCCAGAGATCTCTAGAGAGCGGTGGGTGGGGGCTGGAGATAGGAGGGGAGCATCCTGCAGAAGTGGCTGGCTGACCACAAGGCAAGTGTCTGTTGTCAGGCTTCAGAGTTGGGAGAGCCCCAGGCAAGGCAAAGACTCCCATACAGAAGGGAGGGTCTAGCCACAATGGGGAAACAGGATGAACAAGATACAGCTCAGTGGGTGATGGCCTTTGTTGCTGAGCCTAAGAACCCAGGAATAAACCCTGGACTTACATGATGAAAAGAGAGAACAAGAGTTGTTGTCTGAGCTAGACACATCCAAACTTCCTCCCCCACCTCTCTTCCTCCATCATCAATTAGTAAAGCAATGCAATGAAGTGAAGAAAAGAGCATCAGAAAATTCCATGGAGTTCCAGCAGGAGGAGAAAGGCTCATCAAGAATAGAATCCATGAGCCACCAGCACTGGGGTAGCCTACTATGGCCCTGCTGGGTCTGCTTGCCAACTCCTGGAGTCTGGCCCAAGAAGCCTCTGGGGAAGCTGTCCATCCTTTCTCCTGCACGAGCATCAGCTGGTTGATATCAGAATGCAGTCCGGAAGGTGGCTCTCGCTGATTCTTCGGCATAGGAACTATCTGAAGCCACTTGAGTCTGGCTTCTGTTTTCCTAGGCAACCCCACGTTGGTTTTTCTACACTGACACTAATTCCACTTCTTGAAAACATCACAGAAAAATCTGCATATTTGGCACATCCTCTCCACTGTGGGGGACTAGGAACATAGTTTAAAATTTCTTGCCTACTCACCA